GTAGTTGCACCCCCCTTGGCTTTTCTGCGCCAATTACCCTAATCATTATTGATGGTTTAAATGTCCTAAAAAAACTTTAAAAAAGCCTTAATCATTTCAAAATAGTGCACTAACTTATTTTTATTTTTAATATAAAAGATTTAATTAATTCTAATATAAATTTGGTATAAATTATAGTAGATATACATTTTAAACTTTTAAAGGATTGTAAAAAGTTTTACGGACAGAACTGATCATTTTGTACTTCTTTAATCTGAAAATTAATTATTCTTTTTTATAAAGGTTTAGATCATATATTTATTATAAAAATCATGTAAAAGCATATTGTGCATATATTAAAACTAAGTGTAAAATTTTAAATTTAAAAAAAAACTTCAAAATGCTCCAAAAATCCTAAAATGCAAAAAATAACCTTAAAATTTAAAACCGTCAAGAAATAAAAACTTCTTATTAAAACATTTGTGTATGTTTTAAAACGAGTATCGCGTAGCTATAAATTCGGAAAACAGTACAAAGTGCGTCGAAATCATCTTGTTATAATTTACCTAACATTATCAAATTAATGGTAACATTTTATTTATTAAAAAAATAGGAATATTTGCTAATTTAAAATTACATAATATTTAATTAAAATGAATGCTGTAAGATTAGGTTTTAACTAACTATCCACGTATAATTCATAAATAATTTTTACATTCCCTGCCTATATGGAAGAAAATATGTCACAAATAATACTGTATCAATAATAAGATGATAATAAGACCTACCTATCTAGTGAAACAAAAAATTTAAAATGCAAAATATTTTGCCGTCCCCTTGACAAATTCCTGCGGACCCCTTGTCAGTGGTGTGTTTAAAAATCTATGAAGAAATAGTTTTTTTATTTACATGCAATGATGCGATATACATCTACAAGCTGGGACTAAGTTTTCTTTTTTTCAGTGTTACCTAAATGGGTAAATATAATATAGCATCCTCCTCCTCATGAATTTATCATCAAGTCATAAAACTAAGGGATAGCTTTAGATTATGTACACAATTATGCATTTATGATTTATCTATGTAAGAGATATATTAAAAACAACCATATAGGATATACATATTCGTCATAAATCATAATTTATAATCATTGCCATACACTGTTCACAAAACAAAAATAGGTTAACTTATTAATAAATATTTTTAATTACCTTTGATCATTATGACCAGGGGTGTCAATGATACCAGGTAAATTGGGTAAAAATGATGATAAGCTCTCCTTAAGTCTTTTTCCACTGAATTTACTGTATGTGTGTTCTAAACCATAATAGGCCATTAAATTTACAGACCCGGTCAATTCACTTTCACCTAAAACATGAAATTCAAATTATTCAATGAAAAAGTAACATTTATATACGTACAATGAACATTTTCTAAGTACGTTTTTAATTGTTTATTGAATCACAGACACTAATTGTTATTATTAAAATGTTATACAGTATAACTGTATAAACATTATACATTGCGTATAGCTTCGATGATTGTTGCATCGCGTACATGGTTCATTACAGTACAATAAATGTGATGTGTTTTATACTCCAGTGACACTTACATGGTGGTTCTTTCATAAGATAAAATGGGCCACTATGCACAATCGATGGATTCTTGCCCAACGATATGGTCGTCTTGAGGGTTCCCGTAGAATCCTGCCTGGATACGACGGGAGACCTGGCACCTCGAGGCGATGATTTTGGTGAATACGACGACGGGAAACCAGACATGTAGACAAAGTAAATGCGTCACTTAAACAAGAACAAATATACATAAAAACGTTAGCGGTAAATAAAATATCTATCGAGTATCGGTTGTACAGTCGCAGTGAAATTGTAATTTAAACGTTATCAATATCGTGTTATTTTTTTCTATTAATGTTTACGTGAATTTTGATAAGTAGGTTGGTTGTGTTATTACCGTAGAATGACAAATTGAAAACAGCTGTCACGTTTAAACACGACAAACGTAACCGTAAAGTGGTACAATTAAAATATCCTAGATGGCGTTACGCAATAGAGTATTTCATGGCTTAAATATACAAGGTTATTGCAATAG